TGACCTGCCTTAGCTACACAGTCCCTAAGATTAAAATTTAAATAAAACCTCAAAGAGGGCCTGACTGGATATTGGGCGTAACAACAAGGACTATTTCTTGTGCTCGCTCAGTAAAAGATTTTACTATCTCCGCCACACAAGTGCATCTCGTTTCCTCCAGTTACATTGCCGGGCATGTGGCGTCTGTTGGTATTTTACAGCAATTTCAAAAGTTGGGGTTTGTGGCATTTTAAGCAGAAGCAAGTCTTGTTTATGTCGGAGTGTTTGCCACCCAAACCCTCGTGGTCCATAAATTTTAATATTCCTTATGAGTGCTATACCCAAGCATAACACAAAGTGCCTCACAAATTTCTTGCCCAGAGCGCTAGTTTACCACGGTTCTACATCGAGACACTTTGCACACAACTCAGACTCTCTCTACCACATGCTTTCCACATGCATCTTGCATGACTCGCTGGTGATTTTAAACAAGCCAAAATAACAACCCTGCAACACAGAGCTCCTCTGGGAGATTCTAACATAGTGGTTATTGAGGGGCAAGGCTGCCACTTTTCCCCAGGTTCTCTAAAACAGAGCTGGGGGAGAGGGGGGGAGGTTGGAACCATTCTGTGTTCCACCCCCAGGCTCCTTTTTATGTTTACCAGCCCCTGCATGAGACTGATACTGTTTCAATTCCGAGGCTCAGCCATGGCAAACTGGCCTTAGCCTCTCTCTGCCATTTGCCTTAATAATGTGGGCCGTACTCTCTGCGGGGAGAGTAGTCACCATCCTGAGAGTGGCTAAATAACACAGTGGAGTTCATTGATGGAAAGGATTACACGCTTGCATGCAGGGCAGAGAGGCAACGGGCCCTGTGAAGGGCACAACAAACAGATATGATGTAAAGCCTTCACAGGGAGAGAATGCACAACTTTACTGTACGTCATGGAGGTAGTGTTGGCGCAATTTGCGGCGTCACACTGTTTATCTGTTTGCCAACAATGCATGTGTGGGGCCTACAGAGGTTTGTTAAAAGCACATATACAGTATGTATGTATGTATGTATATATTTTGAGGTTTTTTGAGATTTTTTAATATTGCAATGAATATTTTCATATTTTGGAAATTTTTTAATATTGCAATGAATATTTTCAGTGTTTAGATCAGTTACAAATAAAAGTGTGAAACACATACATCTACCCGTTGTTGTTTGGTTTTCTGTCCCAGCAATAAAAAGAAAAAATATTTTGGACACGTAGAACTGAGGACTAACCTCAGTTGATCATGATTATGACATTTTGGATGAATCATGATTTATTATAATTACTCCGCAGCTACCCTGTGATTCTAAGGTTAAAATTTTAGATGTTTCACGACACACGTGCGCACATACACACAAACACAAGCATATATATATATATATATATGTATATGTATATATATATATATATACATATACATATATATATATATATATGTATATATGGAGTGAGTTGAGTTTGATAGTCTTTATTATGTCATCAGTTCATGGAAGGACACATCCCCAGCAGTGGTCTGAGATCATATGAAACCACATTGGAACCCTTTATTTTCAATGTGTATCCATTTACATTTCCTGTAGCCTGTTCTGTATGGCATTACATCCTATGTTATTGTAGAGCATTTGACTATTGTGAAATGTGACCACTTCCTCCTTTGTCCCCTAATAAGGCGAAAACAATATCTCATAGACTTATCAAGTGGAAAAGTGACCCAAGCGCCAGAGATCCGAGTGCACATCAAATAACAGGCAGGAGCATAAAGCATGAGACATCTTCTAACAACACATGAATGGATGTGGCACACTGTTTTACCTCTGCTTTCAATTAATTCTTATGAATCAAGTCAGCGTGTATTAAAATGGCCAGATGCTCGGATGGATTCAGTTGGGAGCAATGACATGCAACAAAGTGATATGAATCATCCTCCCATTCTGCTGCAGCTCACTCTTAGTGGGACGGTGGCAGAATTTATGGAAACTGAAAACAAGGCACAGCCACTTAAGCGTGGATGGACTGTCAAAAGGAGACAGTTGGAATTAAAAGATACTATTAGATTAAAATATTTAACCATAATCACCACTAAGTTTTCAATATAAATCAAACTCTATCAGAAACTCTCATGTCACACTCAAACAGGAGACCAGGATTTATAATCGGCAGAGACTGTGCCATGAGTCAAACCATGTTGAATATTCACACAAAGATAATTATCTGTGGATTAGTCCCATTTTGTCTTTGAGAAATCCACTTGTCAGCCAGCCCTTGGGAGAAATGCTTTAATCATTAAAGCTCTTTACTTTCTGAGAACTTTATTCAAGTGCTGAAGTAGTTTGTCCACATGTGTAACTATGCATGTTATGAACTATGAACGTTATGAAGCATTCAGTGATTGAGCATTGGTCAGTGTTAATTATTTTAGACTGGAATGATTCCTAAAATGTTTCTTTTGGTATTGGTCAAACTCTGCAGCTCACAATATTAATACCTCGGAGAGGGCTGCAGAACTCAAGTCCATCAAATGACAACATGCTATGCATCAAATGGGTGAGAACAACTTTTCACACTCCACCCTACAGATTTGGTCCCTTTGAGATGTGCTATCTGTAAGAGCTAGTAATGCAGGAGCCGTGTGAAAGCCTGAAGGCCAATCTTGGGAGCAGATAATGAAACACCCAGTGCTCTCACCTACTAGCTAGCTCGGGGTTCTGCAACCTCGAATAATATCACAAACAATTTTTGAAATATAATTTTACCGACAAAAACAAAACAATAAAGAGCCTCAAACTGTACCATTCCAATGAATTAGATATGGCAGTTTAAAAACTTTTAAATACTTAGGTAATATTACAGAATTGGAAGTAATAAATATCACAGCTTCTAAACACTGCGTGTTTTCTGCAGCAGTCTATGACCGTTAACTGACGTCTGCTACCTGTTCATTAACACTTCAGCATTTTGTCCGATACCTGTACTTCAGTACATCTACCAAGCCTCCCTCTCTGCTCCCCGTCCCTCTTTTTTCCTTTGAAATGTCTCTTGTATCTACAAATCTGCCACACTACATACTGTACATGAATAAATTTGAGGCCCGTAGCTGGAGAGTGTTTGAAGAAAAGGAGAATCAAAGGCCATTCAAGAAAGGAAACCACAACATTATGTCTATATATAGCTTCCTTAGTCCTAATTGGCATGAACAGTACAATCAGATAAGGGTTTTTGACTGTGACACACATGCCGCTTGAGGAGAGGGAGAAAATATCATTTGCTAAAGTGTATCTCTGACTGAGATACTTTCTTTTTTCTCTTTTTTCTGTGCTCATTCCGGCGCCGTGGCTGCTGAGTTGTGAAATATTCCTCGGACCAGTCACAACTCGAGCTGCAATTCCCTTCATCTGTTGAATATGTAAACACCATGCCACCACATTGCTTCTGTGATACATTCTAATCACAGGCACATTTAAATCCCTGTTGTCTCTTTGTTTTATCTCTGCTGCAGTCACACAGCTAGCCTCTACCAGGCCCTGTGTCGCTCGCATGTTGTCCCTATATTATGGTCTCACTGGGGTTGGTCCATCTGGGCTTTGTGAGGTCACTGAACACACCACCTGCTCCGATTGGGTGTCACCGTGGCTTCTGGGTAATACTACTGGGCATGCACAGGAGGGCAGATGTATAGATTTAGTGGTACAAATGGTTTTATGAGCAAACAATGTGCATCACAGTGGCAGGTTGTCTAGTTTTTCTAAAATCCGTGTTTTATTGGCTTATTACATACTAGTGTAAGTTAAAAAGCTATAAGACAAATGTTATAATTTAATGTTGAATCATGTCTCTGTAAGGGGACTAACAGCTTTGACGAGTCCATTTTTAAGCTCAGGTATTCAACTGCATTACAATGTATTGTGAGCAACTTTTAACCAGACGTGAAATAGAAAAGCTGTTACAATTATTCGAGGTTTGATAGGCGATTGCTTTGGCTCCATTGTGTCTTTTTGTAAAATGAAAGAACAACATTTTAGTCAAGGCAAATCAGTAAATTGTGACGGGGTAGTAAAGACCTATTGCTATTTCCACAAATAAAGACTTTTTTTTCCAATATATTTTTAGAAATTATATGTATTGAGGTTGCTTTTTTTCATGTTGAAAACAATCTAAAGAATACACTAACATTTAAGAATGAAAGATAATCCCTCCAGCACTTTGCCTGCCAACAAGCCGAACAGGAAAAAAAAAACACTTTGTTTGAAATGTCCACAAAGCTTTTGTTTTGATTTTTCCAGAGCACTGTTGCCTATACACGTCCTGTTGACACTGTATACATGCTTGATACTGCCACCTGGTCTTTTTATTACCCCCTGAATGGACAAAGAAACGCTCTGCCAATGACTTTGTTACTTCTTTTTTGACACTCTATACATGAAGCATGAGGATTTTAGGCTACAGTAATTAAATAGTGGTAATCGAGATCTTTCAAATAAATTATATATATAGTGCTATTTTTTCACTTTTTCAGATCTGTTAAAACAGAACAATGCAACTATTACTGTCAACAAAAATCGAACTCTTATTTCCTGTAGGGGGCGCTTAGCCGCAGTTATAATCGCCGGGTTTAATGTTATTGATCCTCAGTCAAAACATTTTCCACAAGAGACAAATAATAAATTTTGTCTGGAGTTATTTCAGAAGCCCACTGTAAAAAGAGAAAGAATCTTTTCTCCAGAGGCAAGTGTTAAATCATTAACAACAGGTTATGTGCATGGCCACATACCCCTCCTCCCCATTTTAAAAAGTGAGGAACATTTTTTATCGTTTATTTTCTTAACGTAATTTCCTCTCACTGTACCCTTAAATGGACAAAATACGGGCCCAAGTGAATAGATCTTACATAGTAATCGTTTCTTGAAGTGATAAGATGAGAGGTTGTTGCTTGACAGTTCACAGTTGTAATTCATTCCCCTTTTTATTATTTAAATGACGCATACAGGAGGAACTGGCTTTGCTTATGGGAAAATCAAATTAAAGCGACATATGGCTGCATGTATGGAAGTACATGTAGAGAGAGCGTTTTAAATAGACATTTTTTGCAGTGCATGGTGAGGATTTTACTATGCAGCCAGACTCCGCCTGCTCAGCGCGCGTCACTGGCGAGTAGTGTGGACGCGGAGTCACTCCCCTGCCTACTTTTAATAGCTTTGTCATGTGATGGAAAGCAGTTGTAAGACAGGTGCCCTCGGTTCATTCTCGGCGAGGGGCAGCAGTTGCCTGTGTGAGAGCGAGTGGGAAGCGTGTGTGGACTTTTCTACTTGATTTCTTTATTTTTTCTTTTTTTTTTCTTTTTTCCCCCATTTTTTCGGACCGTCATTCAGTGGCTGGATGGCGTGGGACAGGTGTAACCAGGACTCGGTGTGGAGAGAATTAGAGGTGAGCGCATCTTAAAAATTCCGACTTCTTTGATCTATAGCCTTTTTGGACTTTTATTGTTACTATTTTTTTGTTATTCTCTGGAACGATGGACTCCACTTGGTCTTCTGTGACGGTGATTTAAGTCTGCGATCTCTTTTCCTTCTACGCTTCTCCTGCTGCTGCTGTCACTGCCGGTGTAGTGCGCGTCTGGCTGGACACTGCTGGGGATGAGGCGGATATCCAACACGGGAATATATGACAAGTGGAGGAAATATGCGGAGTCTTCTTTTTCGCCACAGTTAAAGATGTAGTTGTAATGTATGCTCAGGCTCTGGACCGGTGCTTCTCTCATAGGATCTGTGTGTTCAGAGCAGAGCGAGTGTTGGCAAGCTGGCGGATCTGTACGCGCTCCGGTACCGGGAAGGTTCTCTTGCCGAAATGACTGAAATGTCCCAGAGTCAGGTATTCCGCTGACACACAGAATGCTCTCTGATGATAAGAATACCTGTGATGGGCTCTGGCGGAGTAGAACGCATGTTATTTTTCAGAGGAAAGAGCAAAGGTTGGCCACACTGAGTCTCCGCTATCTGGCGTTGCGCAGGAGCATCATAATACTGTCGATCCTGGCCAGGTCTGCGTGCCAACATCCCGGCCGGGGGGACGTTGGTTGGCTTGAGAACAGCGCATTCAGGCACACAAGATGATTCCATGTTTCATTTCAGTTTCTGTGTATTTTTTCTTTTAATCCCGTTTGTACTCTTCTCGTCGCGCATGTATGTATTTAGGCACTTTTTTTTGTTTTACTTTATTTGGTTTATTATAAACCTTTCCGACTTCACTTAGCACCTGTCTGTATACATGAGCTCAGTGATGCTCCAGGAAGGCTGCAAGCTGACTCCATATGTGTGCTTGCCCGTGGCTGCGTGATTAGAATATGAAAAGGAATCGTGCTTTTACATGATGAAAGTAAGACGTCAGGGATTTGAATCGTGCATGATGAAAGTAAGACGTCAGGGATTTGTTTTCATTCGCACGATCTGCTTTGCTCTTTACGCAGCGGCGCTGTCACTGCATGGATGATGGAGAGTCTTCTTTAGCGTTTCGGCTGCGCGTCGTTCCGAGAATTGTTCTAGCACAATTTATCTGTTTCTTCGTTTGGTGTTGTAATATATATTATGTGATGAAAAGTGTTCTTCCCAAAATTGATCTCGCATCCAGGCCAATTGCGCTTCCGCTAACAATCCACTCCGGGTGCTTTTATGTGCAAAGCGTGCGTAAATCATTTGCGCGCTGTGGTGCGCCCTGGTTGCCTCTCTGGCGGCGCTATTTCATTAGGTCACCAGGAAGCCCATAAGATAATTGGACACTGGACGAGCAGCCTGTGAATAACCTAAAAGCTCAGTGACCATCTTTCTCATGTCGAGCCTTTACAGATTGGATAACCTCAGAGGGGGGAGCCTGGACGCAGCGAGTGTGCCGCCTTGTGTTGCGGGTACATGATGACGGATTTGTCTCATCATAGTTTGTGTCATCATGCATTTGTGTTATTGTGTTATCACCGGAGACGAATGAACTGTGACACCAGATTCCGGGCGGTGTTTCCTACTTGGCACAGGATCAATCACCCACATTTGTCCTGAGCCGAACCACTCCCAGACCGTGAGCCAAATGCCCCCCGGTCTCGCCTGAGGATATCCACCCTAAATCCCTCACCCTGATCGCTCAGTGGTGTTCGCACGTCGGTGTAGGTGTTGTCAACAAAATCAGAGCCGTGTGGTGTATTCGATACGAGCCACGGAACTCTTCCCTGGCCTTGGGTTTGTCATGTGCACATAGTGTAAACACAGTTCCTCTGTGAGTTTGCTTTGAGTGATGCCTGACTTTTTGTGTACAAAGTTGAACCCCTACTTGTGAAAACATACATCTCTGTCACTGCTGATGAGCATGTGGCAGGCAGTAAAGCGGTCTCATTTGTGAACAATGCAACAAAATCCCTTTAAGTGTGTAAAAAATGATGTTTCCTCTGTAGTGTACATGAAAACACATTCTTTGCATTGACAAGTCAAGCAGGGGGTCTCAATTTAGACAGTCTCCAACCTGCAGTCAAATCCTACCAATGATGGGGGCTGTGGGGGGAAACAGGAACAGCTGCTGCCTACAGTACACATTGGCTGGATTACATAAAAGTGGCTGGAGAATAACGAAATGTCAACACGCTGCATTAAAGTAGCACAAAGGCCGACATCAGTTACTGTGCAGGGGGAGAGCGCTGAAGGGAGGACAAAGTGCACAGAGGAGAAAAAGAAGCAAGTGTCCAAAATTGTGTATATCAAGAACAGCAGCAGAGTATGTTATTAAATAAATACAGCCAATGAACAGGACACCTATTCAATAAGAACAATGGAGAGATTCCACAACTTGATTAGCCATTAATTTAAGAAGCAAGGGTTTGAATGACGTAAGTGCTTCTAATACAAAATGTATGAATTTCCTTTGTTTGGGACTCGTCTGCAGGTTTTAAAAGGGCTTTTGAACTGAGTCCAGACTTTTACTCAGACAGTGAACGAATTCCGTTTCTGACGTGCATGTGAATGAGACCTAACAGCTTCCTAATTGTTCTTGTTTTCTTCATCCCCAGTGCGCTGCCTTGGTTGGTGAAGACCAGCCCCTCTGCCCAGACCTCCCTGAACTTGACCTCTCAGAGCTGGATGTCAGTGACTTAGACGCAGACAGCTTCCTAGGTGGCCTCAAATGGTACAGTGACCAATCAGAGATCATTTCGACGCAGTATGGCAACGAGGCATCCAATCTTTTTGAGGTAAGTTGAGCAAACGGTGATTGTTTTTCTAGCGTTCGACAGCATCTGTTTAATTTTGTCATTATAGCCTCACTGACCAGTTTCTGTTATATGTTTATCTTACTCTCACCAAGTGTTCAGCGCTGAGCTGAAACACAGTAGCATCCCACCCTCACAAGCACAACATGCTGTCACATTCTTGAATGAGGGCCAATAAAAGTGCAACTGTTGCCAGTTCATAAACATGCTTTCACATCACTGTGCGGTACAAAGGAGAGATAACGCAGAAGAAAAAAGATAAGGCCAGAACCTTGGTCCCCTTGGTTAGACGATGGACTTGACTTGAGGCCCCCTTATCAAAACCCTGAGCATTTATTTCAGCACAGAGTCAGTTGTGCGGCACAGATCTAAAAGAACACTCTGGTAGTAAATTTAGCAAATGCCAGCTGTATTGCAAAACCCTTTTCAAAGGTTGAAGTGTAAAACTTTTTCTAATCTTTGCTCCTCAGCTCAGTTTTCTCTACCCCAATCTCTCTCTCTCTCTCTCTCTCTCTCTCTCTCTCGTCGATTCTATTTCTTCCCTTTACTTCTCTTTTTGACCCTTTCTTTCGTCTCTTACCCAGGGACAAACGAAGTCCACAGAGGGTGATGATCTGGCCTGGGCCATAAAGCCATCGGTCTGGGGACAGACTTCTAGTCCCCAGTTCATTATAAGCCTTTATCAGTGGCAGAGATAGACAAGAAAGACCGAGATTGGATGCTTTTTGCTTTGCCTCGGGAGGAAAAACCCTGTCTGAGAAGGCTGTGCGTGTGTGCGTTTGTGTGCCTCAGTGCCTCAGGCCCTGTCATGTAGTCACGTTTTCAGGGTCTCCGGTCTGTGTGTGTGTGTGTGTCTCCTTAGTGGTCTTGCAGGCAGTAGATGATAACAGTCTAAATTCTTTCCACGTTTAACCTCCCCACTACTGCCACCAGCTACCTTTTTTTTCTCCCAGCATCTCTTTATATCAGTACACATTCTCCCTCTGTGGACCACCACAACACACACACACAAACAGATGCGGGGAGTCCTAAGTACTAGCTGGTGTGAACGACGTTTCTCTGTCGTCCAAGAGTGATATGGCTTAAAGCTACCGATTGGCTCAGGGGATGGATATAAATACCAATCACAGTGCATTGCATGTGCTTCTGCCTTTGTTTTATGCAACACCTTAGAACCGAGGAGTGCGATGAAGAACATGCATTTGTTCCTGTGCATCAGTCCACACAGAATGTTTTAATGCAGTGGTTCCTAAATTTGTTTGGCTTTGACCCCATTTTGACATCACAAATTTGTGGCGACCACACAAAGACCTTTTTTTTTTTCAAGAATTAGTTTTTTGATGTTTGGTATACTGTGTTGCAAATACAACCCCGATTTTATAAAAATAAAAACTAGACATTTCAGGCGACCCTGTTCAAATTAAACATGATCGCATAGTTTAAAAAAAGTTAACGTTTTAAACGGTTTTAAGTCGTCTTAAAAAAACCTGTAGATTGCAAAAATTAAGTTGTGTTTTCACACAGCACAAATCAGCAACTTGCTAATACATTAGCAAGTTGGCCATAATACATTGTATGTATTATGGCCATGATATGGAGAGGCTTCAGTTCATTGTGCGGCAGTACTCTACTAATCCTACCTAATCTGACAGGGGAAAGTTTGCTGCAGGGCAAGGATCAGAGTGTAACTCCACTTCCTGAAGCCCTCTGATTGGTCTGCACAATGAGGAAAGGAGCATTAAATTGAAAAAAAAAGCTAAAGATTAGAGAACGTGTTAATAACTGGCCTGGTTTATTGCCCTTTTGTGTATTCTGTTTTTTTCCTCCTGTGTTCATTCAGTGAACAACTCATTGTGTGTGTGTGTGTGTGTGTGTGTTTCAGGCAGGTAGCAGATTTTGAAATCTGCTTTCAGATACATGTTTAACAGCTGGGTGCAGCTGTCACACAGAGGGGGCCCCTCTTTTAAATCTCCCCATCAAACAACTCACACTGTGGATGGAGGTGTTTGGAAGCAGCGCTTCTTCATTTGTTCCAGTCAACTGTTGAAATGAGTTGGAGCTCAGAGAGGAGAAAAGACATAGACTTTTATGTGGCAGAAAGTAGAAAAGAGGGACAATTTTAGCCACATTAGGAGAGCATTGGCCACTGACTTACAAAGCCTAAGTGTGTGAGCGTGAATGAGGCTGTGTTTTTATCTGTGCAGGTTTCCAGTCCTTAAGCACCACACACTCTTAGGTCACAAGTTGTCCCCTGGCTGGCTTTCACTCCACTCCCTGTTTCTTTCCAAACTGCCTCTGACACAAAATCTGGACAATGATAGACCTCTCTCTCTCACACACACACACACACACACACACACACACACGCACGTGTGCTATGATAGGCTACACATGACAGCTATTGCTCCTGGCACCATGTGGTTGACACCTCTACAAAACGGGCCGTCTATGAAAGTCTGCCGTCTATTTTGGGTCACAGTTGTTAAGGGGTGGTAACAGCAGTAAGTTCCCAATGTACTGCCAAACATAACAGCTCAGAAGCATGACCTAAAGTCTTCATAACCACAGGTCCACACTCATGTCACATGTCCAGGTCCAACCAGGTGATTGATGGAAGCATGCCTCAGCGGTTTCGGCTGATTCAGATTCTGATGCGAGCTTCTTGGTGTCAACTCTCGGATGCTGCAGGGAACATCATATACAAAGATGAAGGCATTTTCAGCGGCGGGACACAGTGAGGCAGTCTACGTAAATATGCGAGAATATTGGCACAGTGCTGACTTCTGGCATTATCAGTGATGATAGACAGACAGGTGGGGGCAAGGTTGGCAGATATAGAAAGAGGGAAACAAAAGAAAAGTGCAGAGACAGACAGAAAACACTAGATGACAAGACAGACGGACATGGGGACAGATGGCGAATGAATGAGACAAGCATTTGGTCCGCGGGACACTTGGACTCGTGCCAGCCATTTTTAAAGCCCATGGATTGGATGTAAAAGGTTGTGGGCTTTGCAGGTAGTAAAGTAAGATGCCAAGGCTCTAAGCATTACTCAGATATTATATTGGGACAGGCTGTAATCGCACGCACGTGAGCACACATACTGAGTACGTGTTGTCTTCATTATACATGAAGGTAAAGGTGGACTGTTTTTGCTTCTTTGTGCATTTTGGACAGATGCTCAGGTGTTTACACATGAGTTGGAGCAGATTAAAGCGGTGGGACCGACCTTTGACGAGCTTTGATAGAACATGCAGTGATTGGAGGAGGTTCCTGAAGCAGCGCCTTCTTTCCTGCACAGACACGTCGGTAGAGATGTGCTCACACACTTGTTGGGTTGATAGTCACTCCTGTGAGCCAAGACAGTGATGCGCACACAGTCATAGACCCTGTGAGAGGAATTGTCACGCCCACACACACAAGCGCACAAACACACAGACAGCAGAGACCCTTATTGTCCCTGTTCCCACTCCCTGCTGAATACCGGTTAGGTTTATTTTGCAAATTTATGCTGACATTTGAGAGTACACCACCCGTACCAGTTCACCGCTCCACCAAAGGGTGTATGAATTATCATATTCTACTGTATAATATGATTTTTCTCAAGTGAGGACTTATTAGAATACACCATACTTCCCTAAGCTTCATAGGTTTTTCAGTTGCTGTTGGCACTGTCTTATGGAAGAAATCCTCCATCACTGTCGAACTGAGGGAAAAAACAACAGACTTTTTAGACCAGCAGCCACACTGTTTTGCGATACACAACTGAGAGGGAGTATGGACAAGTTTGTACTGACGTATTTCAGAAAGATGCAGACATAGTCTGTCGGGGGCTATGTCGTCTTGGAGCGTCTGTCAGATCCAATCCACAGCCAGAGCTTAAACACCAGCGTCAAACATTCTCCCTCTGTCTTTTTTGCTCCTAAAGCAAAGCATTTGCTCTAAGGAAGTTGAAGCTGCTGTGGCTAAATAAATATGTTGTGGTCTCCAACCGTGGCCTCCGGAAAGAAGTGTCTATAAGGAGGAAATATAAGATGGATAGATGAAAGAAAGGGCAGTGCATAGATAAAAAAATGTAAAATAATCCCCCGAGTGATGTTTAGTGAAGGAAGATGAGAAAGTCTTTTGGTCAAGAGTTAGCTGCTTGGCTGCCTGGCTACCTGCTGCCTCACACACTCCATGTGTCTCTTACACACACATACAAAGACACACACACCCATGACTTCCAAACAAATTATATCGACTCAAATGTGAATCCCAGAACCAAACCTTAAACATACAATCACCTTAAAATTAAAAAAATTATGTCACAACCACTTTCTGTCTATGTAGGGGAGCAAGCTTCAAAAACATATTTAATCCCCTACATGTGCGCGCGCGCACACACACACTTAGACGCTCCCTAAAGACCTGTGCTGCTGATTGAGCCATGGTTTGGTGTTCGGAGCCCCAGCTGATCCCCTGGCCCCAGTGGATAGCCCCCCTCCTCCTGCCCCCCATCGCAGCAGAAGCACCTCTGTGTACATGTGCATCCCTGTGTAATTGAGAAATTACCTTCAGAGATAACCTACTGGTTTTTTCTACCTTAAGGCAACACATAATCTGTACTTGTTTGGTTTGTGTAAGTGTGTTTTTAGTGAAAATAACTATTTTGTGCCTGGGATAATCCCCACCAAAAGCATTTTAGGGTTGGTTTCCCTTTACCTCGGCCAAAACACCAAGTCACTGGATCTCACAGAAAGACCCGTCTTGTTTTTATTTTGTAGTCCACTTCATGAACAGTGGGAATCAGTCATTCACAAAGGAACCTTGGGACTTTTTAATGCAAGTTTTACTGCAAAAGGGAAACAATGTCTGTATGGTTGTTTTTGTGAGCGCCATTTAGTTCACTGCTGTACGATTAAAAGAATGCAGTTTCTGATAAAATTGTGTAAATGAAAAAAACAAGATAAATTGAAGGGATTGATAGAGGTTCCTTGGGT